TCCGTTTTATTTTTTTCCAAATTCCGTTTTTTCCATTTTAATTTTTCTCGACTCCTTTTTAATAGTTAAATAAAAGCATGTCTAATTAATTAAAATCATTAAACTGATACATTTTCACATCGATTTATTAAAAGTTTATCAAAAATTACGTTTAGGGCCCTATGAAATGTTTTATTTTTTCTCACCATATTATTTATTGTTACCAAATTCTGTGGTTTAGCATGTCTAATTATTTGAATGCATTATTAAAATTAAAACATGAAAGAAATGTTTTGTGTGATTATTCCTTGAAAAATAATGTTTGTTTCATTTCAGTAGTAGTAGTAGGCTATGTACATTGTACTGAAAAATAGTTATAGGCACAATGTCTTCAAATCAAACCGGACTTTTATTTTGACGGGTTGCCGTGTATACATTTACAGTTCTGTGCATGTGATATGACGCTAGTTTTACTCAAATCAAACACTAAAATGCTCATGAAGTGACTCTCAGAGCAGTTCTGGAGATGTTGTTCATGTGTTTACGTCCTCATTTAGTGAGACGGCAGACGCTGAAATCACCGCGAGCGTCACGCACGCTTCAGTGTGTGTGTAGTAAATGAAACCGCGCTTCTGCGCCATTCATTAACAGAGACAGACAGAACATGCAGGATTCATATTTAAATCGACTTTTGCGGCTTAATATTTACAGATACTTGTCCATATCGTGATTTGATTTAAGTGTAATGACCTACTTTTGATTAATTCATTCAAAATTTGACAAATTCCGTGACATTCAGCATTAAACTGTGAATTCTGTTTTTATGACTGGATAAAGACTACACTGCGTAATTTTCCCTCTTTATCATGTGGCCACTTGCCTGATGTAACATAAAATATCTTACATACCACCACTTGTGAACGAGCCAGTGTAATGCAAATATATCTGAAAGGTCTGCGTGAGGATATCGTCAGGTTCTCGCGAGACACGTCGGATCTCACAAGATCTTGTACCACGAGATCTCGTCAGACCCCTAATAATTTAACATGGTACAGATCTTGTGTTTTTAGCATTTTAATAAACTTTAAAGAGCTTGATCTTTAAAGAAAATCATTGTTACCAATCTTGCGTGCCCCATGGTAATTTGCTCGGGCCCCTTCCTCCTTTTTAAGAGCCACTCAACACTCAAAAACCACTCATCTCTCATTCAGTTAAACTTCTGAAACTTTAATCGATAATTTTAAGTGATAAGCTTTAATTGATTATTTAGTCATAAATTATTACTTTTAATTTGAATTCTTTCCCTTCACTCCCACATCCTATAATCAGGTTATTTTTCCTTTATCCTTCTTACTGTAGGCACTCCAGATCTGGTTGATCCAGTATGTGTTTCAGGATCTGCACAGTGCTGGGTGTGGTTGGTGGATCTGGAGCGTACCGTAGCGCTGCTGGTGGGACGTTGTCTCGGAGGAATGCTGCAGGGAGCCCCACCCTCACCAGAGGAACAGCACACTACCCATTGGCTCAAAACACCGCTTTTTAGTAATGGCTTAGAGACTGATATACCCCAGCTTGGTATGCACACACATTGTAATTCCTTTTATCATTAATAGTCCTGTTTTGTTTTGAAATTTATTGAGTTATGGAAGTAAAAAAATGTTGTGAATTGTTATGAAATGGTATATGTGTTTCAGATGTGTGTATCAGCTCTCTGCTGGAGGTGGCTCTGTGTGGAAATGAGGAGCAAAGACCTTTTGACTGTCAGTTGCGTGCTGACATGAGTGTGCTGGTTGATTTGGCCCTTGGATCAACTAAAGAGCCCACACACAGCTTGTGGACAAACATGCAGGATTATGCCATCAGCAAGGGTAGGACACAAAAATAGAGCATATATTGAGGATTATGGAAGGAGTATTATAAATGCTGATTAGCTTTACCTAAGTGCTAAGTGCTTGCATAATCTCAGAAGTCACACATTAACCTATGCAGACTTTATAATGGCTCATATTTCTGTTGTGATGGGTAGCCCCACCCACAGTGAAATCTTACTGGTCCAAAATCTCACTACACACCACTTGTCTTGTTGCACCTGATTAGGGCTTTGTGTCAGTTGTCATTTCTTTTAAAGGATTAGTTCACATCCAGAAGATGTGATGTCATCCAAGATGTTCATATCTTTCTTTCTTCCTTCAGTCGAAAAGAATTTAGATTTTTCTCCATATAATGGACTTCAGTGGGGATCAAGGGGTTGAAGATCCAAATGGCAGATTCAATGCAGCTTCAAAGGGCTCTACATGATCCCAGCCGAGGAATAAGGGTCTTATCTAGTGAAACGATGTCATTTTCTAAAAAAATAAAATTATATTTAAATGTTTATTCTGGAAGTGAACTAATCCTTTAAATAAAGCCATTTGTGTTTCTGAAAGCAGTTTCTGAATGTAGAATTTGTCATATTTAAGCTTAGATCCCTGTCATGTGGCACAGTATTTTTCCATAATTACTGCCTTAGGTTACAGTTCAATAAAAATTGACATTCATATCCTCTGTTATGTTACAGCTGTCCATAAACCAGATCTTTTTGGTGCAAACTATTCTAACTATGGAGTTATTGGACTTTATATAAAGTTATTGGTTGTTAAAAGCAGAAATAATTTTGGCATTAGCATTAGAACTTTTCATTTGTGCAACATCAAATCTTTGATGGCATTACATGTTCATTTAGTCTTGTGTGTGTTTGTGTAGATTGGGACAGTGCATCATTGCCGAATGAAGCTCTGTTAGACACAGTGACCCGCTTTGTACTTGCTGTCCTGCTGAAACACACAGGGCTGCTGGGACAGGCGTGTGGAGAAGGGAGGTATGACATTATATTCTACATAACTTCAGAGAATACTACACTGTGGACACTACTAAAGAATTTATTTCCCATTTTCTGTCTTCCTACAGATATCAGCCATGTAAACTCTTGGCAGAGGTGTATCGCAGTGTGTATAAGGTGCGGAATCGCCTCTTGGCTTACAAAAACATGGAGCTCATCCAGATCCGTTCGTCATCACGAGAACGCAGAGTATGACTTTTTATGACTTTTTTATTACAAATTATATCATGAATATAACAGTTTGATTGAAAACTTTGTAGGATCTTTAAAGAAAAATGAAGAATAATACATTTTTTTGGGTGAATTATTCCTTTAAGATCCTAGAAAAATCCTAGAATTTTAATGTGGTCAGACTTTTGGGCCTCATATGTAAAGCCATTTCTCCTCCTGTGTGCAGATCTCTGATAACTCGTAAAGGTTCTGCTAAACCGAGTGTTTCTGTTACACGGAATGGAACTGTTGCGGCTTGGGCAAAATGGAAACAAAGTTACACTGAAGGTGCACCAGCTTAAAATTATGTGCTTATCAGAGACACGGAGGCTACTACATGCATTAGATTAACTGTGACAGAGGGACCAAACAGCGAAGCTTTATTTCCACCAGAGAAATGCCTGTCGATAGTGTGGGACCATTTTGCATACACCAAGAATGACCAGGGTGTCATTTAAATATTGATGTAAAAAACTGCTGCTAAAGAGCAAACACATTAGGGATAATGCATGGCTAGCTGTACATTGAACAATTTTAATGCACGACGTGAAGGCAAGAAAAACCTGACGCGCGAGCTACGGCACGTTAGCTCAGCATTCTGCCCGCTTCAGATCAGAAAGAGATTAAATAGTGCGGTAAGATCACATTTATTTGAATTAATTCATTATAACATTTAGCTACTTAATTATTCGATAGAGAGAGAGAGAGAGAGAGAGGTGACAGTTGCCTACCTGCATCTGTGCATCTCTCCAGTAGGCTATTTAATCTATTTTATTAATAAAAGTCGCGGGGCAGCATTCTCAAGAAGTTTGTGTCCTCCTGAATGTTTGTATACGTGCGCAGCGCCATCTCCAATCTCACAAACCAAAATAATAGACGTGATTTTCTCAGGCCACATGTAAAATCATATGAATTATTATAAAGATTATTAAAATGAATATGTATGGATGACAGTTGATTACAATAATATTTCATTTTATTTCCATCATTAGTAACAGTTTCCCCTGTGGGATAAAGTTAATATATATTAATAATACTTCATTAACTTTGTTATTTACTATCTCTGTTGTAGTATTATTCATAATATTTTTTTTCACCATGTTTCCAAATTCTCTACCCCAGGTCCAAAAGAAATGTAAAGAATGAACTGAAAACATTAAATACTTTTGTGATCTATTTCCATTTGTTATTTTCAAAAGAGAAATACTGTCATGGATGTTTACAGAGCAGAGGATGTTTACCTTTTTTAAATTCCAATAGGAGAGATGGACTTTTCTTTGTCTTTTGTTTATTATTATTTTGTGCTGTATTGTTGGTTACTGTGCTATTTCTGTTTCAAAAGCCAGCAAAAAAAATAACACTTTAATATCTAAAGAGTGTTCATGTGATTTTATACATTAGTAATTGTGAAATGAGTGAAATTAATAAATGCATAATAATCGCCATAATCGTAAAACTGTGATTATTCCTCAGACAATAATCGTACCAACAAAATCTATAATCGTTGCATCCATATTTGTGAAGGGCATGTGTGTGTGCGCTAATGTTGGCTGATGCTTTGAGTGGCATTGAGCAAAGTTGTCACACACATTCACACATACCTTGTGCATTTTAATATTTTCCTTTTTGAGATTCTTAGTTATTACACCTAAAAATTTACATTCTGTAATTATTTACCGTCTTGTCATTCCAAAACCATATGAGATATTTAGTGGAATAAAAGGAAGAATTTTTACATGGCTGTCAATCTCCATTTAAAATAATAACAGCATATACTGTAGGTTTGGAATGACATGAGGGTGAGTAAATAATGACAATATTTTAATTTATTACTTTATTACTTTAAAGATATATTTAATGATTGGTTTGACATAGTGTGAATTGCATTGTGCTAGAACACACCACACAATATACACTACCATTCAAAGGTTTGAGGTCAGGAAGGTTCTTGCTGTCCTTTGCTCACCAAGGCTACATTTATTTGATCAAAAAACAGTAAAAACACTAATATTGTGAAATATTATTACAATCAAAAAAAAAAACAGTTTTCTATTTTAATGTATTTTAAATGTTGTTTATTCCTCTATTTTAGGATTCTTTGATGAATAGAAAGTTCAAAGAACACAATTTATTTGAAATATACATCTTTTGTTTTATTTGTTAATGGAAAAGTCTTTAGTTTAATGCATCCTTTCTGAATAAAAGTATTCTTTTTTTTAATTTTTTTTTTAAATCATACTAACTTTTGAACGCTATTGTATACTAATAAATAACTTTGTTAACCATAGTTATACAATGGTCACACATGGCATTGTGTAATATCCAGCCATAAGCACTTTTTAACAACGTCATGCTTCTTGGCTGCTTCCCTAACCTGGCCGCTCTGTGTCTTATGTCTTGGCGGACACAGAAATCTTTCATTGTTTCCTATCAGCACGGGAGGCAGCACGAGGAAGGGACCAAGATCGAACCGGAAGCATAAGCACACAGGAAGAGCCGGCTCAGCCTGGTCCGGAGCGCAGGAGCAGCACGACCCCTCAGGAGGGACAGGATCTTTACACCACCACATGCAATGCAGTCATCCACCGCTGTGCCATGCTCCTGCTGGCCGTCAGCACGCCACTCGCTCAACACATCAATCGGCAACCTCTGACAGGCGGGGTCAGCCAGGACGGAGGCGGGTTTATGACGAGGTGAGTAGCATCATTGTTAAAAAGCACATTTCGCTGATTAAATATGTGTAAGCATGACTTTTAACTTTTGAATCATAACACTTATCTTTGGAGCCTGAAGGTCTCACTGAACTCGTTCACCTTTCCAGTCTGCTCCAGCGCTGCTAGTCCTGCCCAGGAATGCCTGACCTACTGTTCTAGATTTCACATTATGTAGTTGCAAGAGACTCTGTGTGCTGCTCTAATTTTGAAGAACCTTTATAAGCTGACCCAATTGCAATTAAGAGCAGCGGTTACTGTGATACATCATTTCAATAAATAAAAAACATTCTTCATTAGTGGTATTAATTTATATTTAGGTCACATTTTAATGGTGTGATTGTGTTATGTCCGCTCATGTCAGAACATGTAACTTTTATTTGCCATTTTCATTTTGTGTGTAGGAGTGAGAGCCTGTTGGCAGAGAGTCGGTCCATCCAGAGCAGTCCCAACTACAGACTCACAAAATCCAGGAGTGAGTCTGATCTCTCCCAGCCAGAGTCTGATGAGGAGGGATACTCACTGGTGAGATGTGACACATGCACACACTGCCTTATCTGCTTTACTTGATTTATAACTATATCTACTGCAGTTATGTAACCTCTCGGTGTGACCTGTTTCAGAATGTGAGGAGGAATGTGGATCTGGATTTAGCTTTCACTCCTAAAAAAAGAGGTAACGGCCCCACCTTTAACACACTGAGACTGTAGCAATAGGACATACTGTACTACTCTTGTAATCTGTGTATTTGTGCAAAAGTCTATCTGTGTACACATGTCTCTGACAGCTCTGTGTGTGGTCTATTTTTTTCTATGTGGCTAAATGGGTACATGAAATAAGATGACAGTGGATTCCTGCTGACATCTTTATAGCCTCTTCATGCATTGCCAAATTTATTCCCCAAGGCCAAAATGTGCCACAGCAAATTTCTGTTATAAAGTATTACTCGCATAATACTTATTCATTATTCCTTATCCTTATTCATGTCCAGACCTGCACACAACTGTACAGAAAAGGGCAGTTTATGGGGGAACTCAGATACCTGTCTTTCCTGTTCACATGTTCTGTACTTAACCTGCATCTCACCTGTAAATCAAGACAGTGTTGGAAATCTGTCATCAGATCTGGTGGCCTTTATTATAAAAAGGGGGGTTAAAATAAATATGCAGGAGGATATGTTTGAGCAGTAGATTATAGGGTGCTATTTAAGCTGCTTATGCTTTTATTTTGTTATCTGTATGCAGTGTAAATAGCTACAAATATTATACTTTTTTTGATAGTACAATAAACAGCAAGTGGGATTTTGCACGTTTTGATCTACTTGTCTCAAAATATTTTGATGTTTTCAGCTTCTAATAAATAGTTTTTAAATCCTTTTCATAGATTTGACGTGATCCATTGATGTGTTGAGATTTGAAACTTAAGTAAAACTCCTGTAAAACACACCTAAACCAGCTAATAAAGGTCTTTGAGATGTTGAAAATGACAGGCATGTGTTGGAGCAGGTTTGGAGCTAAACTCTTGAGGAACAAAGTTGTTCAGAACTAGGATTCAGCATCCACTCTATTGCTGTGAGTGTGTTGCTGAATGAACTCTGGCTTCTTACCAGAATATGGCATTCACAACACTTCCAGCACACTCAGTGTCTAAATTTGCTTCATTGTTTTCATTCATTAGTGGAGTGATGTAGGAAATAGTGAATGAAAATCAAAAATCAAATGTGACCGCTTCGGGTCAGAGCTAATCGGAGCTCTGAGTCTGACATGAAGTGAGGTTGTGCTTTGAGTGACCTGAGTTTATCTGCTTTGGAGCACTTCACATACTCGCATGTCAAACAAATAGCTTTTTGGTATAAGCCACACAAGAGAAACAACGCAATACTGTATTAAGCATAAATATACATGGAACACAAATTTACGGTTTCTAATTATATAAGAATTAAAATTATTAAATGATACTTTATTATTGGGCCATTATTACAAATTCTGTTCAACAGATTTTGTTTTGTGTTTTCAAGGCTTTCTGTACAGTTCTCCAGACTCTTCTGCTGACTGGTTTGGGGGACGCTCGGCTCGTGAGTGTTTATACAGCTCTCCACAGTCCTGCGAGGAGTCAGACCTCGGTCTGAGCCATTCATTCAGGCTCCATGCACTCATCGAGAACATGGTGAACTTCATCAGTGGAGATGTTGGGAACGCCCCTGCGTTTAAGGAACCAGAAGAGAGTGTGTCAACGAGCCCACAGGCCATTATTATAGCCATGGAGCAGCAGCAGAGCCGAGCAGAGGTATGTTCTGACTTTTTGTCTTTATTTGTCAGATGCCTGTCTTCACTTCCACCCACAGACTTTTGTTTGTTTATCTTGTGCTTTTATGATTGTATTACGTTTATTTATATAGTTGCGTCTGGAGGCCCTTCACCAGATTGTGGTGTTGATTTCTGGGATGGAGGAGAAAAGCTGTCAGGCAGGCTCTGGAGGTGGAGCTGGACGCACAGGCCTCAGTTTTCACTCTGCCTCTCTGCTAACATCAGTCAGACTGCAGTTCTTGTCAGGATGTTTTGGCCTTGGTGCTGTTTGCAATGGGGGGCCAAAGGGCGAGAGTGTCCAATTACACCATTACCAGGTAATTGTTCCATCCAATCATTAGAGGTGCTGAAGAAGATAAATTTTTTTGAATATGTGTCATATTATTCAACATTGATTTATTGCACTCATCAGTGGATGACAAGCAACTGATCGAGTTTTTAAATAGTTGAACTTTTTTAGGTCATGCTGGCTTAATATGTGCTAATTTAGGCTGGCATGTGGGCATTAGGCCTGATTGAGAAAATAGCTAAATGTCTGTGAGCAATTCAGTCTTCTTGCTTTAACACGTCTAGAACAATCAACTGGGTTTCAAGAACTGAAATGTTATGATAAATCATTTTGAATGTTATTATTCATGCTATGCTCTGCATGTCCTTTGTTTTTCCTTGTAGGATGGAGTCAGAGCGGCCAAGAAAAGTTTACAGATGGACATTCAGACTGCTGTTCATAAGATTTATCAGCAGCTGTCAGTCACATTAGAGAAAGCCCTGCAAGCTAACAAGCACCACATAGGTAGTTTATTTGAGCGCACATTCAATATATTCATTTATGTAGCATATATTATACTGAACATATTTTCACAATGCTGTGTGTTTACAGAGGCCCAGCAAAGGCTGCTGTTGGTAACGGTCTTCGCTCTAAGTGTGCGATACCAGCCTGTTGATGTATCGTTAGCTATCTCCAGCGGTCTCTTGGATGTTCTTTCTCAGCTTTGTGGAACGGAAACCCTGCTTGGACAGACACTGCAACTCCTGCACAAGCCTGCAGGATCTCAGCTCAGCACTGCCCTCAAAGTGGCCAGCACCAGATTGCTGCAGATACTAGCCATCAGCACCGGGTACAACACAGTTCTCTTTGTTAATACCTGTTTTTTCATAGCCGATCTGAATCTCAAATGCTGTATGTTTTAAATTATTTAGCTAGTCCATGAAAGTTCTTTAGACCCACTATACTTTTATTCGGAAAGGATGCATTAAATTAATCAGAAGTGACAGTAAAGACTTTGACAGTGTTACAAAAGATTTCTATTTCAATTAAATGCTGTTCTTTTGAACTTTTTATTAATCAAAACTGTTTTCACACAACTATTAAACAGCACAAGTGTTTTCAAATGATTCTTGAGCACAAAATCAGCATATGGTTTCTTTGAAGATTCAGCTTTGTCATCACAGGAATACATTTCATTTTAAAATATATTAAAACACAAAACAAATAAATGATCAAATAAATTAATTCATGGTGAACATAAGAGACTTTTTACAAACCCCAAACATTTGAACAGTAGTTTAATTTATCAGTAGCTAATTAGGTTTGTTTGGTCACATTACACTGTTAATACTTCTCTTAGCAGGAGCAAAACAGATTCATTAACTCTTGCTCTTTCCTATCTTTCCATCAGGACATATGCAGACAGGTTGAGTCCTAAGGTGGTCCAGGCTCTGCTGGATCTTCTTTGCAGTCAGCTGAAGACTCTGCTGGCTCAGGCTGCTGGAAGCACACTCAGTGCAAGTACAGAACTGCAGGAGAAGACTGACGACTGTGCAGATGCTCTGAAAAAAGATTTTCGAGGTAGGACAATTGCAAGTCAAACAGCAACATGCTCACTAATTTACTTAATTTTGTGTTTTTAATATTGCTTTTAATTTTGTGTAGCATTGTTACGTAAGAGACACGCAGCAGAGCTGCACCTCGGATGTCATTATTCATGCTTTGCTCTGCATGTCCTTTATCTGTCCTTGTAGGATGGAGTCAGAGCAGTCAAGAAAAGTTTACAGATGGACATTCAGACAGCTGTTCATAAGATTTATCAGCAGCTGTCAGTCACATTAGAGAGAGCCCTGCAAGCAAACAAGCACCACATAGGTAATGTATTTGAGCACACATTCAGTATATTCATTCATGTAGCATATATTATGCTGAACGTACAGTATATTCATAATGTGTGTGTTTACAGAGGCCCAGCAGAGGCTGCTGTTGGTGACGGTCTTTGCTCTAAGTGTGCGATACCAGCCTGTCGATGTATCATTAGCCATCTCCAGCGGTCTCTTGGATGTTCTCTCTCAGCTTTGTGGAACGGAAACCCTGCTTGGACAGACACTGCAACTCCTGCACAAACCTGCAGGCTCTCAGCTCAGCACTGCCCTCAAAGTGGCCAGCACCAGACTGCTACAGATACTAGCCATCAGCACCGGGTACAACACAGTTCTCTCACAGATTGTTAAAACCTGGTTTTTCATAGCTGATCTGAACCTCAAATGCTGTGTGTTTTAAATTATGATGCTACTCCGTGAATGTTCTTTAGACCCACTGTGAGATTTTGGCATCTTGTTTACATTACCATTCAGAGGTTTGGGGTCAGTAAGATTTTTTTAAGAAAATTAATGCATTAAATTCATCAGAAGTGACAGTAAAGACTTTTACAGTGTTACAAAAGATCTATTTCAAATAAATGCTGTTCTTTTGAATGATTTACTCATCAAAGAATCCTTACAAATGCCACAAAACTGTTTTCACAAAACTATTAAACAGCACGAGTGTTTTCAAATGGTTCTTGAGCAGAAAATCAACATATTGTTTCTTTGAAGATCCACCTTTGCCATCACAGGAATAAATTACATTTAAAAATATATTCAAACACAAAGCAGTTATTTTAAATAGTAATAATGTTTTACAATAATACTGTTTCTGTATTTTTGATCAAATAAATGCAGTCATTGTGAACAAACATAAAACATCTTACCAACCCCAAACTTTGTAGTGTAATTTATCAGAAGGTAATTAGGTTTGTTTGGTCACATCACACTGTTTATATCTCTCTTAGCAGGAGCACAGAAGACAGATTCATTAACTCTTGCTCTTTCCTATCTTTCCATCAGGACATATGCAGACAGGTTGAGTCCTAAGGTGGTCCAGGCTCTGCTGGATCTTCTTTGCAGTCAGCTGAAGACTCTGCTGGCTCAGGCTGCTGGAAGCACACTCAGTGCAAGTACAGAACTGCAGGAGAAGACTGACGACTGTGCAGATGCTCTGAAAAAAGATTTTCGAGGTAGGACAATTGCAAGTCAAACAGCAACATGCTCACTAATTTACTTAATTTTGTGTTTTTAATATTGCTTTTAATTTTGTGTAGCATTGTTACGTAAGAGACACGCAGCAGAGCTGCACCTCGGAGACTTCTTGGTGTTTCTGCGGCGAGTCGTCTCTTCCAAAGCCATCCAGTCCAAGATGGCCTCTCCTAAATGGACTGAAGTCCTTCTCAACATTGCTGCTCAGAAACGCTGTTCAGGTAATACAGCAGCATCCCAGCAACGTCATCTTGTCTGTGTGCTAGTTGTTAGATTAGTTAAATGTGTGTATTTTTTAGGCATTCCTTTGGTTGGTAATTTGAGAACACGGCTGTTAGCCCTGCATGTTTTGGAAGCTGTGCTTCCTGCCTGTGACAGCAGCGTGGAGGACCATCAGATGACCCAGGTCTAAATCCACACACCTCTATTGTGCTCTTTTTTTTGTAATTCTTTTTTTTATGGAATATCTGTTGCAGAGTTAAGTTAACTTGTCTTTGTGTGGTAGGTGGTGGAGAGGTTGTTCGCGCTGCTCTCGGACTGTATGTGGGAGGCACCTGTTGCTCAAGCCAAGCACACCATCCAGATGAAAGAGAGAGAGCAGGAACTCAAACTGCAGGTGAGGGAGATTCAGTCAGTCAAGTGTAAGAGGTTGTAATGCTTTAAAATGTACTTGTACTCAACATTCACTTTTCTGAGATGCCATTAAATGCCATCTTGTTGTTTTAGGGTGAATCAGAGAAGGAAGAAGAAAATTTGCCTATCCAGGAAGTAACCTTTGACCCTGAGAAGGCACAGTGCTGTGTGGTGGAAAGCGGACAGGGATTGACGCATGGCAGTGGAGGCAAAGGTTACGGCCTGGCCTCCACTGGCATTTCCTCTGGCTGTTACCAGTGGAAGGTTCTACACACTTTATTTTACACTAACATTCAGAAGTTTGGGATCAAAACTACACTATTTGATCAAAACTACAGTAAAAGCAGTGATATTGTGAAATATTTTTTTCAATCTAAAATTACTTTTGTATTTTAAGTTATTTTAAAACATAATTCCTGTGCTGGCAAAGCTACATTTTCCTTCAGAAATCTTTCTAGTATGCTGATTTGGTGCATAATATGCTGACTTCGTGTAAGCCAATAGCACAATATGTACATTGTATCGAGCTGTGTGAGTATGAAAGTGTGTATTATTTGTTTTCAGTTCTATATCGTGAAGGAGAATCGTGGAAATGAGGGAACGTGTGTGGGTGTGTCACGCTGGCCTGTGCATGATTTCAACCACCGCACAACAGCCGACATGTGGCTCTACCGCGCTTACAGCGGCAACCTCTACCATAACGGAGAGCAGACCCTCACGCTGTCCAGCTACACACAGGGAGACTACATCACCTGTGTGCTGGACATGGAGGCCAGGACTGTGTCCTTTGGCAAGAACGGAGAGGTGCGGTGCAGCCCACTTACAAACACACAAATATTCAGCATTGACCAACTTGCATATCAATAACTGAGCTATAATACACATTCTCTTTCATCATATGTGCTTATGTGGCAGGAACCCAAACTGGCATTTGAAGATGTCGATGCTACAGAGCTCTACCCTTGTGTCATGTTCTACAGCAGCAACCCTGGGGAGAAGGTAAGACACACAAGTGCTGATGTTGATTTAAACTCTGATCCTCTGTTTATCTAAAATAACACTGATGAACTGTTCAGACTGCATAATCATGTTGGTGGAAGGTCAGTCTACACTCTGATTGCTTCACCCTAGAGGTGGGCAACATAAGCACAATTATATCATGATATTCATAAAGCTTTTGGGTCAGTAACAAAATATGATGCCTTTTTTTATTTGAATAGTCACATACATTGCTATGAAACAAATGTATGAATGTTTATAATTTTTTCAATACAAGTTATAAAGCTTAATATTTTACATTTTAATTTAATTTTTATTTTATTTTATTTTTTTTATATATACATTTAATGTGCCTATTTTCATTTTAATGAGTTTTAATATGTAAAATATTTAGGTTCAGTTCATTTTTATTTCAGTTTTAGTTATAGTTTCTTTTTTTTCATTTAGTAATTTTACGGCTTCAAATTAAATTAAATTTTATACCAAGGTAACATTTCTAATTTCATTATGTTTAGGTTTTTCATCAAATATTTATATTTTATTTCATTTCAGCTTTATTTCAATTATCAACATGTTTTTAATAGTTGCGATTTGTTAATAATAATTTTTATGAAATATGTATGTATATATATATATGTATATATATATATATATATACTTTTTTTGAATGATTCCTTAAAAAAAAAAAAAAAAGCAGTTCATAAGAGCCGTGTTTTTTAATCAAAACACTGTTCACATTGGTTGTTCGATTTTGCCTGTAAAGCTTAACAGAAACATGTTTTCTTGCCTATATTTTGTCTTATCTAATAGTCACTTCAGACTGCAAAGTCGCATTCAGAACTAAAATATGATGTCTTTTGCTGTAGAAAGTCATGTAGCACTGCCATAACAACGATATCAACAAAAATGCATACTGATTGACAACTTTCTAGTGTTTTCTATATAACCAGTATATCACCCACCCCTACCCTGCAGGTAAAAATCTGTGACATGCAGATGAGGGGCACACCACGTGACCTGTTGCCTGGTGACCCAATCTGCAGCCCTGTGGCCACTGTCCTGGCGGAAGCCACCACCCAGCTGGTCCGGATCTTACACCGCTCGGAGCGCTGGACTCAAACTATCAACCGCAGCATCCTCCAGCGCCTCCAGCAGATCAGAGGCTGCCTGCGAGAAGGAGCTCCTCCAGCAGGGGCCACCAGACTGCGCAAGAGCCGCTCGGCTCAGAGCAGAGAGGAGCAGGACGAGAAGGAGGAAGAGCGAGAGGAGGAGAGAGGAAGAAGCGGACGGCACACTGCGGCAGAGCTGTCGGAGACGCACCTGCGGACGCTGTGCCACCAGGTGTGGCCGGTGTTAGCTGTGATAGGGGGAGTAGATGGTGGGTTAAGGATGGGGGGACGGTGTGTGCACAAGCAGACGGGGAGACATGCCACTCTGCTGGGTGTGGTGAAGGAGGGGAGCACATCAGCTAAGGTGCAGTGGGATGAGGCGGAGATTACCATCAGGTGAGAGATGGGTATCTGTTTGAGTGGTTTATATGAATGTGAAATTGAGGCTTTTACCTCGTTCCTGCTCCCCAGGGCTCTCCTATTTTTCTGTCTTCTGCTCTCCTTGCTCTCTTTATCCACTCTTCTTCCTCCCTAATCATTTCATTGACTTTTTCCTTTGCATTAGCTCCATGATGTTGCATGTTCCCTGGCCCTCCTCCCTGCCCCCTCACTTTCTCTCTCTGTCTCTTTCTCTCTCTCTGTTTGGTTTGTCACTCCTTTTCATTGAAGCTTCCCCACTTTTTGGTCGCCCAGTGACACGCCGTTGTACAACTTGGAGCCAATTGAGCCTCTACCCTTCGATGTTTCACGTTTCCGCGGACTCACTGCTACTCTGCTGCTGGACCTCACCGCCCTCGCCAGCCTACAGGATGATGGCTCCAAGTCCACTTCTGGTCGGCGGCACGAGCGGAGACACCGCCACGAACCCCAGGAAGAACGAGAGAACAAGTCACGCACCAAACCGAAAGAGGGGGCGGGTGACCTGCGCGTATCTCACAGCTTGGACGAGGTTCGAGTTTGTGCGCCACCCAACTCCCGCTCCGAGAGCGAGCTGGCTGGCTACACGCAGGATGCCATGCAGCAGACTCCAGCGGAGGGACGGCGCAGGCTACAGGAGATGGTGGGGACACGCTCACAGGAGGCGGCTGCGCAGGTGGAGGTGCATGCGGTGCAGTTGTCGTACCTGTATCTGGGAGCGATGAAGACCTTAAGTGTCCTTCTGAGCTGTAGTAAATACGCCGAACTGCTGCTGATCCCCAAAGTCACACCTGACAGTGGCCATAACGCAGATTGTGCCAGCCCTGGGGTGAGCGTGTGTCAGGAGGAGGCGGAGCTGCGATCGGCTCTGCAGTTTTTGATGCGACACATGGTGAAACGGGCAGTGATGAGGTCGCCCATCAAAAGGGCGCTTGGGCTGGCAGACCTAGAGCGGGCGCAAGCCATGATCTACAAACTGGTGGTCAATAGCCTACTTGAAGAACAGGAAGGTCACAGTTCCAAGACAGGTATATCAGAAAACATAAAACAAACCTGATACACGTAAACTGACTGTATCTATACGATATAGTATAGATTTTTTGAAAGAAGTGTCTTGCTCACCAAGGCTGCATGTATTTGATCAAAAATATGGTAAATACAGTAATATTGTGAAATATTATTACAATTTAAAATAACTGTTGTATCTGTTTTAATATAATTTTAAATGTTATTTCTTGGTAAAGCTGATTTTTCAGCAGCCATTACTTTAGTGTCACATGATCCCTCAGAAATCATTCTAATATGCTGATTTGAGAGTAAAACGACGTTGTTAGAACTCTGTTGAAGGCTAATGTTTTTTAATTTATTTTATTTGTTAATTTATTTAAACCATTTTTAAAAACGATTGGAGTATATGTAATGTAAAGTCACATCATTTGAATGAAGATTCGTTCAACATTATTAGAAATGATTCTTTTTGGTCTAATGGGTCAAGAATTTTTGGTTTAGACCAGGAATTTTCATTTTGGTACATCTGTTGCAAGCTATGATTTATTTTATTTTTTTCATGGCAAAATAGTAGCATTTTGTCCACACTCTCATTCTCAAGAGCCACAGTTCTCTTCATAAAATATGTGAATGTGTTTGTTTTTAGTGGACACAGAGTGTGAGGAGTTAGAGGGAGACCAACTATTTCAAACTCCGGTCACCACCTCCCCATCAGCCTCCAGCAGCACCTCCTTTATGAGCTCCTCACTGGAGGACACCACCACAGCGACCACACCCGTTACCACAGCCACCACACCTGTCACAGACGCCGAGACGGCACCGGCTTCTGAATCACCTGGAGTAATGCCACTCAGCCTGCTCAGGTACACACACACTGTCTCTTTGAGAGTGTGTGAACAATTAATCTTTCAATCTGTGTCCTGATTGATCTGCATGTGCATGTCTGAGCAGGCAGATGTTCTCCAGCTACCCGACAACCACCCTTCTGCCAGCACGTAGAGCTCAGACCCCTCCCGTGTCATCACTGCCCACCTCGCCATCAGACGAGCACGGCCGGAGACAGAGCCTCACGTCACCTGAGTCCCAGTCTGCCAGGACCACCAGCAGGACGGGTACAAATACATACAATGTTTGGTTCTTAATTAATAAAATGTGGTCCAAAAGTCTGATAACACACTGACAATGAACACGAACAGAAAAAATGAAAGAAAATAAAGAAATACACAATGAAAATACCATTGAACCCACCCCAACCCTCCTTTGCATTGTACGTTTGTCACATCAGTAAAAATTGTTACATAAATGTAGAAGTACAGTAATCAATGATAAATAGTACAGGAAAATGAAAAAAAGTAAAATCATATAAAAAGATTCAACATTTCACTCAAATTATGATGATGATGATATCATTTGTAATGGAAAAAATTTATTTAATTAGAAAGGCTGTCTTTCAGACCTTTGTACATGACTGTATATCCATTTATATATAGTTCTGTATTAAACAGCTGACTGCGTTTATTTATTTGCTCCAAGCATTATCAGACCCCAGCAGTCGTCTTTCCACATCTCCACCTCCTCCTGCCATTGCAGTTCCGCTGTTGGAAATGGGTTTCTCACTCAGGCAGATCATGAAAGCTTTGGAAGCAACAGGTAGACACACTTTCACTCTCATAGAAATGTTATGTCTAAATTCAGAGTTTCTCCTTTTTTCCACGTTATCATTTCAGATATTCAAGAGTATGTTCTGTGTTGGTCTGTAGGTGCACGTGGTGAGGCAGATGCTCAGAACATCACTGTGCTTGCGATGTGGATGATAGAACACCCAGGCACGGCAGACTCTGATGAGGCTTCAGACCCCTTCTCCGGTGCGGCAGGAGGGGGTAAGAGCACAGAGAGGAGCTACCTGCGCTCACCGGGTGACATCCCCAACGCTGATGCTGCAGAGATGGAGGAGGGATTCAGTGAGAGGTATAATACCTACAGAATGTATGGCATGACATATTGTATTGTTGCATGAGTGTAAGAAAACCGTGTGTAGCATAATTTTTGTTGACCATTTATCATTGTTACTTCTCTCTCCCTCTAGTCCTGAAGGTCTTGATCAAGATTTGGGCTCTTCCTCTGCCGGCCCTACTCCCAGAGGACGCTCTGCAGCCAGCAGGAAACACCGCTTTGACCTGGCTGCACGCACTTTACTAGCTCGTGCAGGTAAACTCTAGGGATCTCCAAAGTTACGTTTTCTAAATCAACTAGTCGGTGGGTTATCTGAACAACTAGTCAATTAATCGCTTTCAATTAACTCCTGTATAATAAGGCTGGTTTTAGGTTCATCTGACCCTGAGCAGCATCTGTTTATCAAAGAATCCTTAAAGTATCAGTTCGCACAAAAATATTAAGCAGCACAACTATTTTCAACAATAAGAAATGTTTCTTGAGCATCAAATATATGCATATTTGAATGATTTCTGAAGGATCATGTGACACTGAAGACTGGAGTAATGGCTGCTGGAAATTAAGCTTTGTCAAAATAAATTAATTTTAAAATATATTAAAATAGAAAACAGTTATTTTAAATTGTAATCATGTTTCACAATATTACAGTTTTTACTTTTATGCAGTCTTGGTGAGCATAAGAGACTTCTTTCAAGATCTCAAAAAAAATTATTACTGACCCCAAACTTTTGAAGTGTAGATCAGGCTTAGGCAGCTTCGGTCCTGGAGGGCCACTATCCTGCAGAGTTTAGTTCCATCCTTAACTCTTTCGCACGTGAGTTTAAAATATTCTAGCTGAGCCCCCAGCGTGAGGTTTTTTTAGGCGACCGTTATTTTAGAATGTATCGCCTTATTGCTTCCATGGCGACGCATAATGCTTGTCATGTGACACAACGCAGCCACAATAGATCTGTATGACACATGGATCGCTTTTATTTCGTTTTTCCTGTTTTATTCAAAATATTCAAAAACATGCTCACTATATTATGAAATATCTGATATTCCGATTCTGAAATATGTGCAAGTAAATCTATTTGGTAGCGTTAGTTTAAACACTTTTATATCGACCGTGTTAGTTGATCTATACCGGGTGATGGGCGCCGCCATGTTAGTTCGTGCTGAATACGAGCTGTGAGATTTACAACAGGCAAATTCATCCTTTCCTCCCGAAACACGTTAAATTAGGTCTCCGGTAAACTGGGAGAAGAGCAGAGTAAACTTTATAGTTACCTACACAATCTGTATATGATATCAATAAAAACATGTCGTCAGATTATATTTGGTAGGATTATTATTTCCGTTTCCATAGACATCAGCGAGTATTTTACATAAATTACTAAAACTGTATGGTTTTGCTAGTACTTATGTGTATTTAAATGTCTGAAACCTAAAATAAGCATTATATGGTTGAAAACACTGAATATTTGTGATAATATGACAAGCGCTCAGCGTGTCCGATCTGGCTCGCGCCAGCCAAAGCACGAAAGCGGATTTAAATTCAGCAGTTGATGACGTGACGCACTGAACGTTCTAATCACACCGGTGTAATTGTATGCTTCAGGGACCAGCCAAGACTGATCACACCGGTGTGATCATACGTGTTAAAGGGTTAATTGAACACACCTTCCTGTACTTTTCAAGCAATTCTAAAGATATAGGTTCGTTTTTTTTTCAGGTGTGTTTGATGGGGGTAAAGTCTGCAGGACAAGACTGGAGTTGCCTATCCCTGGTATAGACAGACAGACTATTTATATATTTAGTTATTTATATATTTTTATTTTTATAATGAGGGGAAAAAAGTAAAAACTTGCTAAACTTGTCAACTACACTGACTGGTTGGTCAGCAAATTGGCCATCACAACCAGAACACAGACAAACCAACTTAATTTTAAGAATCACAAAAATTTTACAAAAATAAAACGCCACACTAACATTGTGTTTTGTTGTGTAGCTGGACTGTACCGCTCAGTGCAGGCACATCGAACTCAAGCGCGTCGAGAAGGTTCTGGACTGCAGCAGGAGCCTGGGCCTCTTGGGGCGCTGTACGACTTCAATCTGGATGAAGAGTTGGAGCTCGAATTGGATCAGGAAGCCATGGAGGCCATGTTCACCCAGGAGCTTGCATCAGATTCTGACATTCTGGGAATGTGGATCCCGGAGGTACTGGACTGGCCAACGTGGGTGTGTGTGACAGCAGCCTGGGGCTGCCGCTGCTTTACTACCCACCTTTAACCCCTGCACGGCTGTACACACAAGCACACACCTACACCTTCAAGAACACACATATTGTACTTTCATATGGTTTGCTCACTCACATCCTCATATTGGACACAAAAAAACTTCTGCTGAAGCACAGCAGCTCTCTCACTAACACTGGTGCATGTTTTGCCAGCACAGTACAGAAGCAGCAGATGCATTCTGGGTTGCTTCAGCCCTGATCCATGTTCCATTGGCTTTCATTCATTTCAAATCTTCATATACTAACTTACTCTCCCATCTGACCGCAGTTGTGTGGTTTTGTCTTGTTTGCTTTTGTGTTAGCATGTGTGTGAGTCAGAGGACTGTGATGAGGTGGTCGTGTGTGAGCTGTGTGGGGTCAGCGTGTCCAGTTTCAACCAACACATGAAGAAGAGTCACCCGGGATGTGGTCGCAGTGCCAATCGCCAGGGTTACCGCAGCAATGGCTCTTATGTTGACGGCTGGTTCGGAGGGGAGTGTGGAAGTGGAAATCCCTATTATCTGCTCTGTGGCAGCTGCAGAGAGAAATACCTTAACATGAAGAGCAAGATCAAAGGGCCACTGCCTGAGAGGTGAGAATGAGAGTTTGCATGCATGCGTTGACATAGCCGAATTCACGTGAATCTGACATTTTTCACTGATCTCTGTTTTTCAGGTATAAAGGTCAAGCACCAGACCTGCTGGGAAAGCAAGACTGTGTGTATGAAGGTATTAAAAGTGTCCACATGTAAAGTATACCTATAAAAAACAAAAACGTAATGCAGCAAGTAATAAAAACACCGAAAATGCATGTAAAATTTGTTAGCATTATTAACAACCGCTGCAGACTGTGTTTTGATCATTGAGTCTAAATACAAATTTTTCCTGCAGAAGACTGGGACATGTTGGATGTAGATGATGCAGAACGTCTGACCGGTGAGGAGGAGTTCGAGTTGCTCTCTGCTCCACTGGGTCTTAGTGAACGCAGACCCGTCCCCGAGGCTGTCCATTTTCCAGACACTGACCCTCTCGGAGCTTCTGTTGCCATGATCACTGCAACCAACAGCATGGAGGAGACTCTCTTGCAAATAGGTACAATAATAGCACCAATGTGATTGTGTGAATCTGCCACTGTAGTGACAACGCAGCCACAATAGCTCTGTATGACACATGGATCGCTTTTATTTAGTTTTTCCTGTTTTATTCAAAATATTCACAAACATGCTCACTATATTATGAAATATCTGATATTCCGATTCTGAAATATGTGCAAGTAAATCTATTTGGTAACGTTAGTTTAAACACTTTTATATCGACCGTGTTAGTTGATCTATACCGGGTGATGGGCGCCGCCATGTTAGTTCGTGCTGAATACGAGCTGTGAGATTTACAACAGGCAAATTCATCCTTTCCTCCCGAAACACGTTAAATTAGGTCTCCGGTAAACTGGGAGAAGAGCAGAGTAAACTTTATAGTTACCTACACAATCTGTATATGATATCAATAAAAACATGTCGTCAGATTATATTTGGTAGGATTATTATTTCCGTTTCCATAGACATCAGCGAGTATTTTACATAAATTACTAAAACTGTATGGTTTTGCTAGTACTTATGTGTATTTAAATGTCTGAAACCTAAAATAAGCATTATATGGTTGAAAACACTGAATATTTGTGATAATATGACAAGCGCTCAGCGTGTCCGATCTGGCTCGCGCCAGCCAAAGCACGAAAGCGGATTTAAATTCAGCAGTTGATGACGTGACGCACTGAACGTTCTAATCACACCGGTGTAATTGTATGCTTCAGGGACCAGCCAAGACTGATCACACCGGTGTGATCATACGTGTTAAAGGGTTAATTGAACACACCTTCCTGTACTTTTCAAGCAATTCTAAAGATATAGGTTCGTTTTTTTTTCAGGTGTGTTTGATGGGGGTAAAGTCTGCAGGACAAGACTGGAGTTGCCTATCCCTGGTATAGACAGACAGACTATTTATATATTTAGTTATTTATATATTTTTATTTTTATAATGAGGGGAAAAAAGTAAAAACTTGCTAAACTTGTCAACTACACTGACTGGTTGGTCAGCAAATTGGCCATCACAACCAGAACACAGACAAACCAACTTAATTTTAAGAATCACAAAAATTTTACAAAAATAAAACGCCACACTAACATTGTGTTTTGTTGTGTAGCTGGACTGTACCGCTCAGTGCAGGCACATCGAACTCAAGCGCGTCGAGAAGGTTCTGGACTGCAGCAGGAGCCTGGGCCTCTTGGGGCGCTGTACGACTTCAATCTGGATGAAGAGTTGGAGCTCGAATTGGATCAGGAAGCCATGGAGGCCATGTTCACCCAGGAGCTTGCATCAGATTCTGACATTCTGGGAATGTGGATCCCGGAGGTACTGGACTGGCCAACGTGGGTGTGTGTGACAGCAGCCTGGGGCTGCCGCTGCTTTACTACCCACCTTTAACCCCTGCACGGCTGTACACACAAGCACACACCTACACCTTCAAGAACACACATATTGTACTTTCATATGGTTTGCTCACTCACATCCTCATATTGGACACAAAAAAACTTCTGCTGAAGCACAGCAGCTCTCTCACTAACACTGGTGCATGTTTTGCCAGCACAGTACAGAAGCAGCAGATGCATTCTGGGTTGCTTCAGCCCTGATCCATGTTCCATTGGCTTTCATTCATTTCAAATCTTCATATACTAACTTACTCTCCCATCTGACCGCAGTTGTGTGGTTTTGTCTTGTTTGCTTTTGTGTTAGCATGTGTGTGAGTCAGAGGACTGTGATGAGGTGGTCGTGTGTGAGCTGTGTGGGGTCAGCGTGTCCAGTTTCAACCAACACATGAAGAAGAGTCACCCGGGATGTGGTCGCAGTGCCAATCGCCAGGGTTACCGCAGCAATGGCTCTTATGTTGACGGCTGGTTCGGAGGGGAGTGTGGAAGTGGAAATCCCTATTATCTGCTCTGTGGCAGCTGCAGAGAGAAATACCTTAACATGAAGAGCAAGATCAAAGGGCCACTGCCTGAGAGGTGAGAATGAGAGTTTGCATGCATGCGTTGACATAGCCGAATTCACGTGAATCTGACATTTTTCACTGATCTCTGTTTTTCAGGTATAAAGGTCAAGCACCAGACCTGCTGGGAAAGCAAGACTGTGTGTATGAAGGTATTAAAAGTGTCCACATGTAAAGTATACCTATAAAAAACAAAAACGTAATGCAGCAAGTAATAAAAACACCGAAAATGCATGTAAAATTTGTTAGCATTATTAACAACCGCTGCAGACTGTGTTTTGATCATTGAGTCTAAATACAAATTTTTCCTGCAGAAGACTGGGACATGTTGGATGTAGATGATGCAGAACGTCTGACCGGTGAGGAGGAGTTCGAGTTGCTCTCTGCTCCACTGGGTCTTAGTGAACGCAGACCCGTCCCCGAGGCTGTCCATTTTCCAGACACTGACCCTCTCGGAGCTTCTGTTGCCATGATCACTGCAACCAACAGCATGGAGGAGACTCTCTTGCAAATAGGTACAATAATAGCACCAATGTGATTGTGTGAATCTGCCACTGTAGTGGTTCAGAGTATGCATCATGGTTTAAAATGCCTGTAATTTCACAGATATTGTCTACAATTTGTATATGTATGTGTATCTTTATGCATAATTAATGAATGCTCCGTCATTATAGGTTGCCAGAGCTCAGTGGATAAGAGCTCATCAGGTCGCTTGTCTTTGGGGGAGCAGGCGGCAGGTCTGCAGACGTCTGCTGATCACCTGGTGGCTCTGAAAAGAGTCACTGCAGCTGCACAAGTCCTGTTAGCCAGAACAATGGTCATGAGAGCGCTGTCCCTGCTATCAGTTAGGTTAGTGTGTTTATTGATGTGGCCATTTATATATTTGATTTAATTGCGATTTGCGTTACTAAAGTGTGCTTATTTTTTAAGCTTCAGGATTGCTGTGCTCGTTTTCTAGGGCTTCACAATTTAGCCAAATATTTTGATTATATATTAATATGACTATTATAATATTATTAATATTACTACTACTACTACTACTACTAATAATAATTATTATTATTAATAATTATTATTGGTCGACCGATATATCACCAAGGCCGATATATCGGCCGATATTTGGCATTTTTCAAATATCGGCATCGGCCGATAAGTTTTCCTGTTTGGCCGATGCGTTCGAGGCGGGACTTTTATTTTGACGGCGCTGAGAACGGCAGCGCCTGAGCACACAGTGCTCACATTCTCCCTCTTGTTCGCTGTTGCGTTAACAGTTCTGTCTAATACGGATTATTGCAAACTTAGTCGAATCCAGTTGTGAGATCTTGTGAAGTGTGCACGTGAACCTGCATGATTGCGTGTTCTCTGCGTGACGGTCGGTTCGTATGAATTGAATGTGGACAGGAGGAGAGTTCAGCTTCACTGCAGATGTGCGATCGACAAACTTTAAACTCATGATTTTAAATTATGCTGCACTTTATGCATTTGCCCAATGCCATATTCATGTCATTTTCTCTGTGTTTTGTATGTAAAATGACTTGGCTTTATTTGAAAAAATGTGATTCCCAATGCACACAAACTTCACAGAATACTGAGTGCTCTGTTGGTTACAGTGCTTACTTCCTTTTAATTATTTCAAATTTCTTAAATATTAATTAAAATAAAATTATATCGGCCATCGGCCACCCTGCTTTCCAAGATCTCGGCATCGGCTGTCAAAAAACCAATATCGGTCGACCACTAATAATAATAATAATAATAATATCATTATGATTATCATTACCAAATAAAAAGGTTAAAATGGTGTTAATTTCACTGTAAATATTTCACTGTAATATTAGTGATTGTATTTTCCACTTTATAGTAATTTATGATGTTAATTTCTTCATTTAAAATGTTAAACCATTGCCCTTTTATGCGCTTTTAGCAGGGAAACCTTGAAGCGTCTCTTTTATTTACAACAGCCGATTGTTAAGAGTGTTTCATTGCAAGAAGATTCCCAAATTCACATTATAAGCGATCCAAACTCAGAGCAGATGCAGAGATGAGTTTATGTGGAGCTGCTCACGTGTGAAAGAACACGATGCCTCGTTTCACTCTGAAACATGCAGTGTATATATTTATTTAAATCGCAGCCTTTGTGATTTAAGAATGACACTAAGCCATATCTTAGTGCTTTATTTCAATTAATATTTTATACAGTTACTATATGTGTGTATTTACAGTATATATATATATATATATATATATGTGTATGTATATATGTGTTTGTGTGTTTGTGTCTTTCTTGACTCATATTTCTGCTCTTCAGTGGCTCTAGTTGCAGTCTAGCAGCAGGATTGGAGTCTCTGGGCTTGACGGACATTAGGACTCTGGTGCGTCTGATGTGTTTGGCTGCAGCAGGTAGAGCTGGACTTTCCACAGGCCTTACATTAGGCCCTGGATCCTCTGAGCGCCCACGAGGGGCTAGCAAGGCCACCAAACCCATCTCTTGTTTGGCATACCTCAGTACCGCCGTTGGCTGTCTGGCATCGAACAGCCCCACCGCTGCCAAACTCCTGGTCCAGCTGTGCACTCAGGTAGACAGATAGCGAAGTAATAGCGAGTAAACAGAGAGACAACAAAAAGCGTTACATCTTTTCATGTCTCACCCTGCCTCACTTTTCCTCTAGAATCTGATATCAGCTGCCACCGGCATGAATCTGACCACAGTAGATGATCCAATCCAGAGGAAGTTCTTGCCCAGTTTCCTGAGGGGAGTGGCGGAAGAAAACAAGCTGGTGACGTCGCCCAATTTTGTGGTGACCCAGGCGCTGGTAGCTTTGCTTGCCGATAAAGGTGCCAGGCTTCGACACGGCTACGACAAGGCTGAACTGGAAAAAAGAGGTTAGTTAACATCTAGCCAGCCGCTTGAGAATGCCGGCACATTATTTACATTATTAATTGTTTTTTTTCCAGTCATTTTTTGTTTGTTTTTTTCAGTTCAGTTAAATCTCATAAATCTGATTTGATGTGTTTGTTTTGGCAGCAGAGGCATTGTTAGATGAAGCTTTGTTGTTGCAGCTTGAAAACCACAGCCTTTGCCACAAATCACCACCATTTTAATTTCGTTTTTTTTTTCTTCTCTCGTTGTGTGTATTTGTGTACTCATCTGTGGGCACGTGTGTATGTCTATCTCGCTTGCAGCCTGGCTTTGTTCTGCTCGGTCATCACAGGGTTAATGTCGCCTCTCTATGCCCACCTCTTCTGTGCCCCCCTTGCTGTAGGCCCATTGGAGCTGGCAAATGCACTGGCAGCATGCTGCCTCTCATCTCGGCTTTCGTCGCAGCACCGCCAATGGACCGCGCAGCAGCTGGTGCGCACACTGGCGGCTCACGACCGAGATAACCAGAGCCGCCCGCAGACCTTTGCTGACATGGCAGGAGACCTGCGGAAGTGGTCCACTTTCAGACTCGAGGTCCACCAGAGCAGGGTATGATTCCCCCAGCGATGTGTGTTTGCTACGTTTAAACAGCACTGGAATAGTTTCTGAATCATTTGGTCTCTTGTAGGTGATCACATGTGGGTGGTGTAGTAAAAAAGGCCTTCTGGCAACTAGCGGGAATGATGGGACGGTCCGCATTTGGAACGTGACCAAAAACCTGTACACTCTGCAGCAGACATGTGTCTTTAATAAAGGGTGAGTTCCTCTCTTTCTCCTAATTAGGCCTGTTTTTCACTCACTGAAATGTGATGTTTATGATCGTTTTTTGTCTGTCTTCAGAGAGGACACTTCAGAGGAGTTTATGGGTAATCTGGGGTCTCCAGGCGATCCAAACTTGGCTCCAGTGGCTTGGAGTGTCAGTGGGAAGTACTTGGCTGCTGCCATGGAAAAAATAGTGAACATTTGGCAAGTCAATGGTGAGTCGCTCACCATCACCATATACACTACCATTCAAAAGTTTGGCAGGCATTACTCTACATTACATTAGTGTTCAGTGTCACATGATCCTTCAGAAATCATTCTAATATGCTGAATTGGTAATCAAGATTCATATTTATTATTATGAACGTTTCAAGATTCTTTGATGAACGGAAAGTTTGAAAGAACAGCATTTATTTGACACTTAATATTCAGTAATATCATCGATGATGGCACTGACACTATCAAATGTGAATCAAATTTGAACTAAATTGAGCTGAGTAATGTCATTATTGTCTCTGCTTTATAGCTGAATTGTTTTTTCATAATTCATGAATTTTGCAACATCGACACTTAATTGAACTGTGAATTGAATCAACACTGAACTGAATTGAGCTGAATAACAACACTACTGTCTTCAGTAGAGCTGCTTATAGCTTGAATTGAACTTGTTTCATGATGAATGAACATTACCCAGTTATTGAACCGAACTGACTGGAGCTGAATAATGACACTATTGTCTTGCTACTGCTGCTTTTTTATAGCAGAATTTGTCTCATTTTTGCATTGATTCTTTTACTTGTTTAATACTGTGAAGCAGCTATAAAGAAATTCAGCTTTAAAGAAATGTAATCAGTTTTTTTTTTCATAATGTACATTTTAATGTTGTATTGCCTAAATTCACTTGTAGCAGCTGAAACAACTGATAGTAGTTCTCAGTGTTTTAATTTTAGACAAAATTGAATAAATTATATACATTTTAATACCATTCATTTTTCAGTCATAACATGCTTATAAATAGCAGACAGAATTTTAATATTGGCACATCCTTAATGTTGTGTTTTTGCACACAAGGTGGGAAGGCCTCGTTGGACCTGCAGCCTCATTGGGTGTCATCGTTAGCTTGGCCAGAAGAGGAGGCAGGGTCTCTGTGGGGCGGGGAGCCTCGAGAGCTCCTGTTAGTGGGTCGCATGGATGGGACACTGGGACTTCTCGAGGTTCTTGATGATTCTGATATACAGAGAACTGAACTCCAGCACTGCTTCAGGAAAGATGGTACTGACAGTTTTTATGAAACCGTAAACTGTGTAAAGACTACTTTATGAAAATTTTTCATGTATGTATCAATGTTTGTTGCTCTTCTCTACAGTGGCCGTGATGCAAATTGCATGGTACAGTGAGGATCGTCCCTTTGCAGTTGGATATGCTGATGGAAGGCTTCTGATTGGCTCTAAAGAGCCTGCAGAGAATGGATCTGTGGTGGTTATAGATGCCCACAAGGTTAGAGTCATCATGATCATAAACTGACACACACATACATAAGCATAAGAATAATATACTTTCACGCATTCTTGTCTGTATTATTTCATGTGTGAAGAAGTAATTTAACATGCCTTCATAACATGCAGTCAAATCTTTTTTCTCTCTTTGTGTGTTGTGACTGTAGGAAAGCATCAGTTCGTTGCGCTGGGCTCCTGGTGGGCAAGTGTTACTAAGCTGTGCTAAAGAGGAGATCGTGCGTTTATGGACAGTGTCAGGGACAGGTTTGGGTCAAAGCTGGACATGTCTGCAAAGTATCACCCATCCTGCTGTTGTCAATGCTGTTGCCTGGTGCAGCCTGCCTGGTCAGGGACCTAAACCTCTCAACATGTTTGCCACGTACGTCCAGACAGAGTGTACTCTAATACTTGAGAGAACTAAATCCAGTTTTGCTTTATTTAACTTGGGAATTTGAAAAACCAGAAGAATTTCACTAGCGTTCAAAAGTTGGGGTAGAGAGATTTTTTAAAATGTTTTTGAAAGAAGTCTCTTATGTTCACCAAGGCTGTGTTTATTTGATCAAGTAAAATACAGTAAAAACAGTTTCTATTTGAATATATTTTAAAATGTAGTTTATTTCTGTAATGGCAAAGCTGAATTTTCAGCATCATTACTCCATTCTTCAGTTTCACATGATCTTTCAGAAATCATTCTAATATGCTGATTTGGTGCTCAAGAAACTTTTCTTATAATCAATGCTGAAAACAGTTGTGCTGCTTAATATTTTTGTGGAAACCATGCTACCTGTTTAATTATTATTTGATAAATAATGAGGTCAAAAGCTCTTTGCTGAATAAAAGCATTTATTTATTTATTTATTTTTAACATCAAACATTTGAACAGTAGTTCAAATACTGTTCATAAATGTACGGTTCTCTTTTAAGATTATGCCAAATGTTATTGCCTGGTGTAAAAGTGCTAAATTTCTTCAGTATAACAGCAAATAATCATTCTTTACATTTTTATGATTGTTACTGTTATTGATTTATTTTTGGTGAATTTGTTTCACATGACTTTTCTTATTACATAAATCAAAATTCAGTTTGTTAGGCCTTTTTAAAGTCATAAGGGTGTAATTATATAT